CAAAAACTCATCCAAGTTTGTATATCACTGCCTTGTTCCACGACCGACACGCTGTTAACCAACCTCCGGTCAGTCACAAATCACAATTGATAATGGTCAGAAACACAGTTACATCATGTTTATCATGCCACCAAGAGAACCAAAAATATCTGAGTGAGACAAATAGGTTCTCCGGTATGTTTATCTTAAGTCAGTTGTATGCACTAAACCAGTTCCTTCTTTCTTTTGTGGGCTGAAGTATAGGTACACTCTTTGGATACTTAAATAAAATATACTTTTGGTATCAACTACATAAGTTTTTTTGGGCTGCATAAAAGGTTCAGTATGACTTATTGAGTAATGTAAGTTTTTTGACAGGCAACAGTGTATGAAATTATATAACAGGAGTGGCCAGTGGTAAGTCAAAAGCCGCAAATTATAATGAAAAATAATAGGTATAAAGAGCAGGAAAAAGAATAATACCTCTTATTATATAAGTAAAAATAAAAGCAAGCCACTATTTGGCCACTCCTGCTACATATTACACGCTATTATGAATAACCAAGTTATTAAGTATAGTGACAGTATTAAGGAAGCTAAATAAACAGTTATATGTAATTCTCATTCAACCTGTTATTAATGTATTGAATTACAACATGAAAAATAAATTAAGTAGTAAAAAGGTTCTTATTTTTGAAATAAGAAAAATCTTTAGAAGAGTGTAAAATCTGCAGTGGCGGAGCGAAATTGTGTAGGCTTTGAAGCATATTGTATATTTTAAATATTTATACTACCGTACCCTTCATTGAACCAACATTAGCAGCAGGGGCCATTAATAATTATTAATTATAATATTTGCCATGATATTTGCCTTCAAATAATCCTATATCCCGCCGCCACTGAAGATCTGTTACTTTGGTAAACGATAAGCAGCTAATTAGGTTTATCACAATCAAGGAAATAAGACAAATTTCATATACATGATGTTATAAACTATAAAGGTAAGGTTAAAAAGTTAAAAAGGAAACTAAAAAGAGTTCATAACATCGGTTATATTATAGTAGGTGCAGTATGGTCTGGACCTGTGTTTTCGGAACTTCCCACAGGCATGATTGAGAGGGATACAAGAGGCTTAAGAATCATATAGAAGGTTCTAAAAGTTAGTAGGTACCTAGAGGATTTTTTTTTTTATTTTATTGATCGTAAGCCCGGCAACTATGGCCATTAGCTGTATGGTGTTTTTTAACGTTGTATTATCGGTAGGGAAGGAACACGTGTGTGTAGAGGATTTCTTGTCTGTCAAGGAGAATGAAGAGCATACTAGGCAGTTTGTTTGACATATATATAAATGGCCACCATGGCATATATATTATATATATTTGTGATTTGTTTTTTGAATAATTTTCTTATTATTGTTCAATAAAGATTAAATTGAGGTTGAAGTAATTTATACTATAGAGGTTCCCACCTCAGTTGCGATACCACAAGCAATAAAAAAAGGTACAGTATAGTGCATAACTGGGATAATGACCTTAAGGTTGACAACGGTTGAAATAGAAGGTTCAAATTAAGAGTAAAATCAGGAACTGATGTCTTGGCAATAAGAAGGATCGCAAGAAATATGGTCGTTGATATGTTCTAGATTCTAGAAGATTGAATACTATTAATAAGAATAAGTATAGGTAGTTTTAAATAAAATACTTACATTTAATAAATTAATAATTTACAATTACAAATAAATAAACATCCTTAGGGTACCACTCCTATTTTTATAATCCAATTATAAAAAACTGAAGAGGTTGTATACTTGAAACTACTGGACCGATTTTAATAAAAGTTAAGTAGCTATATCAATACATTCATTGAGGATGTTTTAAGCTTATTCTTTCAATCCCAATAGTTTGGAAAAGGGTGGCTAAAGCAGAAGTTTTGTTTTGGCTCACAAAATCAAATAATATTTTGGTTATATAAAGGGTTGCCATTCATTACACAAAAAAAATTGGTAAAGACTAGCCAACTCGTCATGTGTTGCTATATGGTTATTTTTTAATTAATTCAAAGTAATTCAAATATATAACAATTTACAATATGCAATGTCCTTATGTTTGGAGCTTCTAAACTCAAAAAATACTCGACCAATTTTTACAAAAGTTTCAAAGATCAGGAAAGGTTAGATAGTAGTTTGAACCACATTTTAAAATATACCAAGTGCTATGTCTTATCACACACAGGCAGACTGTCCATATCAACTGAATTAATTCACAAACAGAAGAAAACCAATGCCGATTTTCCAGTGAACTTAGTTGTCTAGTTGTTTTAGGGCCCGTTTTACGATCGTTAAACCAAGGTTAAACCACCGAATTCGGCCGGTAAAATCAGTGGGTTAAGAGTAACCGAGGTTTAAACTATGAATGTAAAACAGGCCCTAGGTGAACTAAAACTGACTTACACCCAAGGATAACAATATAGGCAGGTCTATATTTTATGTTTGTTAATTTTTCCCTGCGAGTTTCAGATTTACAGTTAGGTAGGAAAAGAAACTATTTAAATTTTCTAGGTATTTAAAAAAAAAATAAAAATCACCTTAATAAACTCGAGTAATCTCAACGAAATGTAATTCTCTAGCAAATAAATTAGCGAGCATTATTAACCTGGCATGAATTAGTTCAGAATTACTGGTAAAATTAAATATTTGTAAGCAAAAAAAACGTATTATTACACTCAATTATTTAAATATAAAGTACCTAGATAGCACAAACCAAAACTAAAATTAAACTAACTTGTTGCAGTTGAATAATTTGTGACCTAGGAACTCAACTAATAGATTGTCATTAGTGTAATAAGAGTATACCTACCTACATTATGAAAAAAATGAGTTATAGATAGGCAATCCCAAATAACGTCTATGGTCTTAAGAGTGCAAATTATTCGAAACTCTACAAAAATTATGTCACACTTTACTTTCAAAGACCACTTATAATACAGCACAACTCTCATTCATTCACATGAAACGTTTAAAACAAACCGTCTTAATATGGTCTAAGAAGTAGGCATGCACACATACCAAGCGAAATCGTTGAATTTAACACAAATATAGTATTGAAACGAAAAGGAAACTCTAGCAAGTGTCATAATTCAATGAATAGACAACGTATGTAAACTAAAAAGCAAGGAATCAATTTGATAAACAAATTCAAGTCGGAACGATACCAAAATTTCAACGATTTCACAACAGGTACACCTACCTACCGCAATACTGCTCAGACGCAGTTCGTAGGTACATAGAAATATCTACAAAATACATATCTACATTTTTTTTTTTTGATTGACACTCACTCTTCATGCCATTTTGACGTGTGTTTGTGTTTTCTTTCGTCCCGTCTCGATGACATCTCGATGAAGTCGACGAACGGAAGCGTTCAATCAGCGGTCGGTTGCGTTTTCACTAGTCGTCTGCTGCCTAACCTATCGCGAACACCGATCAAGAAGCATACAGCCGACCTGCCGACTTACGATATTTCGTTACTGAAATTTAGCGACCGTGAAAAATAAATAAAAAACAAATAATTAGAAAAGAAAATATAATATAGGTGATTTACTACAAAGGCCTAAACCACTAGGGTCTGCGGACAACAGGTGTCACGGAACAAAGCACTGGGATGACGTCACATGGTATTACCACAACATTAGTCCGACTTAACCGTTTATTCCATGCTCGAGCGTAGTCATCGACGTTACCTATGACGGCTCATGGATAAAAAAATCAATCAACGGTGTTTTATCAACGCCACTTGGAAACGAAACCGTCTAAAATGACCGGACGATAAAGAAACGCTTAATTCGGACTTTGAAACGGGCTACACTGATATTGTTGAACACATTGAAAGACAACGTGAAATGTGAATACGTGATTACGTAAATGTGATTGCATTGCCGATAATAACAAATCAAGGATTTTCTCAGTTGTCAGCTTCTATACGACAGTACGACATTAGTTTATTACACGATGTAGAATAAATTAATAAATAACAACTTATAATATTGATATATAAAAGACCATAGTCCGTACTCCATGAGTCCATGCCAATTACCAATATACCATGGCTTATTTAGGTCCACGATGTACTAATACGAAAATTATACACGTAATTATATTAGGTCCATACAACTTACAAGACGTGATAGTATCATTGAAGTATCGAACAAATTAATTATGCCTGTGAAAAATATATTTTGTCATATTATCTGTTATAACTTATGTAGGCCATCAAGGGTAATCGACGACACTGTTAAGTACGATAAATTAAATGTATCATGCAGTTAAATTGTGTAAGTAGTGACCACTTTGGGGATACCGTTCACCTGTGCAGTTCTGCTGTTCTACACCCTGCTGCATTTGTCATTAAACACTCAGAACCAAAACTATATAGAACAAAATTATTGTTTAAAGGTGTGTTTACATCACGATTTAAGATATACCTTATATATCTTATATAATTAGAACACTTTGATCAGATCGCCTTTCAGCAACGTAAACAAATTCAACAAATGCATTGGTTTGTGTTCGGCTAGACTATCTATATTGCATCGTTCCGATCGCTGGATAGTATTAACTTGCATTTGGGTTCTAATGTAAACGCACCTTAAAACCGTGTAGCCATGTAGGCATATGACATAATATATCAGTGTGCCAAAAAAATGATCAAAAACCACTAATATCTATTAGTATTGTTCGGTGTTCTACTGTGGAACTTCTATAAAATAAATGCATCTGTATTTATTGGCAATAAATTACACACCGAAATAAAGCGACATAATTCTAAAGCAATTCTGAGTTCATTACTATTTTTAGATTTATAGTAATGCAACTAAAAAATGATTACTGGGACAATTCAAACTTTTGATGAGATTGATTGAAATATCATGCTATTTATAAAAATTCCAAATAATAATATGTCTTGTTATTTTAAAAATGAAAATGTACAAACAATTTTCATGGAGCATTTACTCAATACATAGTTTTAATAATAAATATTTAATGTCTTGTGATATGGTGTGTCTTCCAAAATTGCAGCATTTTCTCTCCGGTAACCCCATAAATAAGTGTCAACCATAATAGAATTGCAAGTCTTGTGTATATTATTTTTTGCCATTAATTTCTTCACCTCATTTACAACTTCATCAACTGCAACGATAGAAGCTGCTCTAATTTCCACTTCTTCTGGTGCTCCATGCTTAAGAAGAATACCTGTATTATAATTAATACAATTAAAAATAAGTAACATAATATTGTAAATGTTAAACTAAATATAACTCTAGCTTACCTTGTTTGAGAGTATCTTTTAATTTATCTGAATATTCCAAAACACCAAAGTATAATAGAACTTGAGGGACCCTGTAATGAATATGAATTCTATATATTAGTAATAATTATCTATAATATATTATATCCTTAGTGATTTATTTAAAATGCAATCCAAGAGACAGAATCTAATAGGTTACAAAAGTCACAATAAAACATATATTATATATTTTACCTATAATCTGCAAACATGGTTATAGTATCTATGTCATGAAATTCACCAAAACCAGTACCCCTGAATGATGACCAAATATCAGCAATCAAAATTTGAGCTCTTTTATAAATAGCAACTAAAACAAAAAACAAATTTAGCATTATCTTAATGCAGTGTATTTAATATCAAAAAATACCAAGGATAACCTTTTTCGTTGTTATAAATGGATTCATCTCGGAAATGACTAAAGTTTTTAGAAATGAGTTTCAACAAATCTTGAGCAGAATGATTTGCTTCTAATATACAGTTCACAAAATTTCCTAATATAACAAATAAAAATTAAAACTTACAAATATTAGGTCCACATAATAGTACAAAAGATTATAAATAAAATTAATTTAAATAATCTAGGTACCTTTATATTTTATTAGTAAATTATTTGCAGATTGTTGTAAACACAGATATCTTTCTTGTAATAGTGGAAGAGTTGTTCCATCATCCCCTAAAAGTATTTCATCCAATTGGTCTCTTGTTAATTTCGAACAAGTTTTCATATCAGTCATTTTTATCCCTTTCTATAAAAACAAAAGAATTATTTTAATTGCTTTTTAAATTTTCAAAAAATATTTCTTTTTTAATATTTACAAACTTCTATAGCTCTATTGATTGCAGCACACAAACCAAAATAGCCTGTGTATTTTTCATTTTTCCAAGTAACAGTCCAATGTGATTTATTGTTAGGATCAAAAAAACAAAAGTTTAAAGAATCAACAATAAATATCCAGTTAATTGCTTCTTCGTCTTCATTTTTTGGATGTAATGAACATTTTTTAAACTCATCAAGAGTTAACTTTTCTTCTTCTATTAATTTATATATCTAAAACAACATAAAAGTATTGACAAATATTTAAAATTCATCATAGTAAATAATGTATATTAGTATATTATAGAGTATAATTTGGGGTGGTGGTGGTTATGGCCTGATTGGTATTCGAGATTTTCACTTCTAAGCGGCCCATTTACATATTCACTGCCCTAAAATTGTTATGAGCTTATAAGTGGAAAATTGTATTTCAAACATGAATTAATTTCAACCCACACTCACACAAGCAACCAAAACTTTAAGTTGTCCACCCAGATTTTCTCGGTAGCTCGCCTAAGCAATCCGGCCCTGTGTGATGGTAAATATTTAATATATGAATATATATATTATATATACATATATATATATATATACACACAGATTGATTCACCAAGCATGCACAACTCCATTTTTTTATTTTCATATTCAAATTTTGTTAGCAACTTATAAACTACTCGTATGAATATTGTTTCTGGTATGTGAAATTTTTCAGAAAAATTATCCACTGAAGGTACCTGGGTAGGTACAATAAACAGGGATAATTAGATAAACTCAATTATTGATAAAATATTAATGTTATAGACTTATAAACACAAATATAAATTACCTACCTTTAGAGCCAATTTTGGAATGTTTGATGAAATAATTTTCACATCTTTAGATTGACTTACTACTGTCTGACAAGTATCTAATACTCGAACTTCATTAATTTGTTCAATCATTTTTAACTAAGTTAAATAACTAAAAATTATAGTGAATAAAAAAAAAATTAAAATTCCTATGAATTATGGTCGTTAAATTAATTTAAAGAATGCACACTCCACAGACCGACATACTACAACATTAGTATAGAATATAATATACTCTGAAACTCTGATCAACGTGAATTGAGAACTGAGAAATCGAAGGGAAATCTGAAATCTGTGAAGTGTGATTAGTCGACATTCGACACTCGAAGTGTCTGAGTAGTGAGTGGTGACCACGAATTAAAATATACTGGATACCCAACGATACATGATAAGACGCTCCTAAACTGACTTTCAATGTGCAAAGGTGCACTAGCGCTCCAACGGAATTAAATGTATACTAATGGATTGACTATTTAAAATTTAAAATATTATATTATTATGCATAAAGTATAAATAACAAATAATATGATGATTTTTTCGAATGATTAATTTAAAACATTCAAGCATTTCCTTATTACTGACTACTGTAATCTGCAATGTAATAATTAATAGGTACCATTCTAATTATTCAATATTCTACTATGACAAAATAGATTAATAAAGTGTTAAGTGGAACTAGTGGAAGGTAAGTAGTATTAACTAATAGCATAGAACAATAGGTAGTAAAAGAAAAATACACATTTAATTATTTAATGAATATCAATTACATAGTACATATAATTTTACATATTTATTAATATAGATACCCAATACAAATTGCATAAAATACTTACAAAATTATTAATTACATACCTATACAGTTGAAACTTCAATTAAATTAGTCAACAAATCATGTTTTAACTAATTTGGATAATTTTTTTTTTGTTTTACTTTGTTTTTTTGAGTTTTGATTCATCAAGTAAGAATACTGCCTCATTCTCATAGTTATATAATATGAAAAAATATTTGTTAATATATCAGCTTGATGTTCTAAGCAAGGAAACTTTAAACCAATATTCAAGCTAAAAAATTCATTATATGTATCTTCAAACACATCACAAGAAGTGGCATGTTTTGAAAAACATGTTTCAAGATGTTTTAGTATTAAGTATAAATTTCGATCTGGATGAGTTAGGTATCCTCTAGTTTTATTATTAAGTAAATCAGCTTCACTACCGACAGTTGAAGTATTTAAATTTTTTATACTTACTATGCATAACTGGCACTTAGTACTCTTTACCAATCGTTTAGCAATGTACCTATTTGAAGTAGGTAAATAAGGTAAATAATAGTGTTATTTAATTAATGCTATTACCTAATTCATAAAATATTTTACCCAGCCATAAAATAAACAACACAGTCAAAAACTGTAGAGTCTGCGTAATCATGCTCCAACAGAATATCGTCCAGATCCCAGCAATCGTCTTCAATAATCTTATTAATTTTTTCTTTCAGTATATCAATTTTTTTTGCACGTTCTGAAACGTTTTCTGGATCATTTATTATTTCTTTCAAATCTTTAATTGATAATACAGGAATTGTATCTATTAACAGTATAAAATATATAAAAACATTTTTATTCAGCAATATTTATTTTGAGAAATATTAATTATAATATGAAATATATTATTTTTGTTAAAACATTTAATTTTTCACCTTCAAATACTGTGCAATTTCCTGTTTTAGGGGGTTTTATAACAGCATAAACTGAAAGCATGCGGTATAATTGAAGAAAAGTTGGTGTTGTGGGATGGTCATTAGGACCTGACACTTGTCTTATAATTCCAAAAAACTTCTAAAAATTATAAAATATAATAATCATCATTATATTTTTATAGTAAAAAATAAAAAATATATTTCTCGAAAGAGGTGATAAAATAATTTAGGTAATTACTTCTAGTGAGTCTTGATTAAATTTTGCAGTTAAGACATAACTAAAAGCACATTCATTTAAAAGATATTCTACCAATTGTATAGTTGAAGTTAAGGTGATCCTTAGCCCTTCACTAGTTGATCTAGTTAAGAACTCACTTTCTTTAATTAGTCCTTTTTCCAAATTTGATTCCCATTCATTCAACCAGTGTATAGCATTATTTAATATCTAAAACAAAACTCAGACTAATTTTTGATCTCACTTTACATTTGTGAACACGTACAAATTAAATTATAACATTAAACTAAATAAAATCAACACAATATTAACTATACACTATCAACAAACATGCATCACATACACACACACAAACATTAAAAACCTCCAAATCATGACTATTTTTTTTAATTCCTTCGGCTGTATGTCTCCTATTTAGTGCATCAAACATTTCGTTCATTGTTTTAGTAAATGCTACAGTCTCTTCAGATCCCTTAAAACAGTCATATTTCTTATTCCTATATAGTTCAATACCTACTGCCATCGATTTGCTAAATACCTGATGAACATTATTAATAAATGTAATAAATAGTTGTAGGTGTCAACGTTATTTATTACCTACCTGAACTGCATATTTAACCTTCATCTTCGAGAGATTATTTAACTCAAAGTGATGTTTAGTCAGTTTCGGGCATACTTTTACAATATTGTTACTTTCAATTTTAAATAAATTTGTATAATACTCCCATTTAATTAATGGCTTAAATGGATCCAACTATAGGAATTACAAAACAAAAATAATAAATTTAATTAGAATACATAATATACATATTATACTAAAAACTATTGAACAGTTTTAATTTACTCTTAATTCTTTATTTGTGAATAATCGATTTCGAATAGTTTTCATCAAATGAGGCACATCAGAAAACACATAAACTTTTCTTGCTGAATCATAAGGATTTTCAAAAAAGTTACAAAAATTGTTTTTTTTTCCTGATACCTGTTCAAATAAATCAAATCATACTCAATAGTATCCATACAGTATCAATTTTAAAATAAAGTAATTAATAAATCACCCCTAGAATAGACCACATATTACGATTGGTTGCTGCTCCATCGCTTGTCACACCAACTATTTGACCTCCAGTCTTTTCAATTAAAATAATAGCTTTAATAATTAATTTGGCAAGATCAATTCCTACGTTTTAAAATTAATGTTTAATATAAGAGTTTTTATTATTTTCCTATTGTTATTTGTTATTGTATAATACTATATTACCTTTTACAGGACCGTGTGAGGCAAAAACTGCTATAGGCTGTACAAAATTCTCAGCTAGACTTTGCCACATAAACACAAGTCCGTGATTTGCTTTTTTATCACTGTCTTTTTTGGATTCTATTTCCTCACCAAAATCCTCAAGTCCAGTGTAAGTTAGTTCTCTGGTATTAACACTTAAACCTTCTCGTAAACTAATTTCATCAAAAAGTAGAATACCTTTTTTTTCAAAATTATTCTTGGTTGCAAATCTTTTAGTTAAAAGTTTGAATAAATTTTTATCAAAACCACATCCAATTTCTACTGCCAACAAATGCTTTCTTATAGTATTAATACAAGGAAGTGGTAATATATTCTGCTCTCTCAAAAACTTATATCCACTTGGAGATCTAGAAAAAAATACATTTTCTTCAAAAATACATCATAAAGTATTTTTTAAATTATTTTATTAAATCAAAATTGTAAATTTACCTAATTTGGAACAATAAACACAATAACATCCAGTTCTCGCTGTACCTACGGTTTTTGGAATTTTTAATTTTAGAAGCGTTAAATATTTCATATAATAAGTCAGATTGGTATTTTGGTATATTATTGTTTTGAATTATTTGCTCGAGGCTGTTATTAGTCATTTCGTTCATTTTATTTTTTATTTCGTTTAATGTAGATTCTAAATTTGTAATTTTGCGTTTTGCTCTAAAAAGCCTTTTGGTGACACCTTTTTTAATTCTTTTTAAATTCATAACTTGTTTTTTTTTGTTAGGTGAAAAGAAAACTTTTGAAGATTTTCTATTTAATTTATTTTTAATGTTGTACAGTAACCTTTTACACCATACACACATGCCACTGCAAAGATTAGATTAATCAGTTAAATTTGTATTATATTTTTTCAATTGTATGGACATGTTGTTTTTTTTATAATATAAGAAATGTGACTATATAGTTACTTGGTATTGCTTTTAAGTAGTACTGTACATTTAGAATGATACCACGACTCGTTAAATTCTGTAATCTGTGGTCCAAGTTTAGATTTAATATCTGGAGTATTATTAAAATTATCACAACCATTGCAAATGTTTACATTATGCAGTAATAATAATACATTTTCTAGGTCTTCAATACATTTTATAGAATTTGAAGACGACCAACCAATATCTTCTGTTGTAATTTGTTTATCATTAACATAGACAATCAATCTTAAATCTATATTTAAAATTAATAAAAATAAAATAAATATTAGTATTTGCCATTTAGTTAGTTTAGTAATTACTTACCTTCTGTTAAAACAAGTTGTTTTTCTATATTTCTTAAAAAAGTTTTTCTTAAGCTCCCTAATTTATAAAATCCAACAAATTTTTTATTCGGATTATCGAAATGTTGAACATCAGAAAACCAATATGATGGAACATTTATCATTTTGATCATTTTTACTATATACTTAAATACAGCTAAAGGCTTCAATAGTGATATCTATAGACACGTGTAATATACATAATGTTTATAAGTACTAAAATATAAAAATACAAAATATCTTAACTATTTAACTTTTTTATCATTAATACTTACACTGTTACTGTTTCCTGCTTTGGAACATTCATCTTCAATATCAATATTAAATCTATTTACTGTGATATTCTTGGAATAGCAGTGATCATCTTCAACGTTAACATGATTAGTGATCTACAACATTCATCATTAATTATTATTACCTGCACATCATGAATTGTAATAAAAAAATTAATATTTATAAAAACCTTTTGTTTTTTTTTTAATGGTATATAATTTAAGTCAGAAATTGTACTTGAAGGCTTCATTATATCCAGACTTATATCTGGTTCAATACTGTTTTTGACTATTGGCTGAAATTGTAACACTTTTTGGGGGACAGCTCCATTTTTAAGTCTT